CCCGTTGCCCAACACTTTAGGAATAATGAAAGCGGCAACCATTTGGTCACTAAATGCTCGCCATAACCAAAAAAAAATTATCCCTTCTTCGTTTTCTAAGCATTGGTTGTTTGTGATGGTATAAAATACTGACTCCATGAAATATTTTAATAGAAATGGAGTTTTTAATTTAAATATTTTGATTCATACCCGTACTATTACTTCTCTTTGCTCAAGATACCAAAAGCTGATTAGAACTCTAAAAGATAGTCATGCACCTAATTATGTAAAACTATACTTACAAACTTATCCGTAAAGTCTATGTCGTAAATGCGATACGCTGGATTCATGTCGGCAAAAGTCGTCGCGCTAGGTGTTGCATACAAAACCTAAAGATGGAACTTAGGGGGTAATAAATGTGAGCGAAATTTCGGCTTACTCCAACGGGAGCAGATGAAGTATCATGCATATCTTCATAGAAAATGGTAAAGTAGTCAGCATGATTGTGTCCAAAAAACTGTGCTGTGATGATATCGGCAAATCTGAAGCAGTCGAATAAGGCAGGAAGGTAACTTATGAAGGCGTTGACCTCTGAACGATCTTATAATAATTGCGAGCCCAGCCTTCCAGGCATTCTCCATCTCCGGGTGGAATATGTGACAATATGTGTACAGAGTCTCCGGCGACTTCTGCCTGAAATGCAAACCGTGTAGAAAAATTTCACTAAGAGAGGTATCAAAGAGGTGTAAAATTGTGTTTTGTCTCAAATTCCAAATTGAGCAAACAGATTATAGGAGTAATTTGTTTACCTTGAATAACTCGGCAGCTAACCATGTCATCGTCCCATCCGGATCACTCTGATTCAGATATAAGAAACTAAAATATGCAAATGACAATCAAGTTGTTTTATGTTCGACTATCAGCTTACAAATTTGTTGTTTCGCAAAATCCTGAGTTGAGCGAGATTAGCCGAAGCCCTTCTATTACTTGGACTGAATACGATCCACGACTGAAATGTCCTTCCAAAGTAACTAGCTAAGCCTGTTTCAAATATTCAGACCAGATATTCACTAGAGTACAGCTTTCGAAGCTTCCGATGTGATCCATGGATTGCTCATCTTAGCAAATTCTTCGTAAAGCCATATCGGCCAGAACCGCTCGTCGACAAAGTGTGGAGCGAAGCTGAAGGTGACCAGAGGTGTTAATACGGTGTATCGAGATAAATAGGTTTTTTTCTTTTAGGCATGGATTTCAAAAGGCTATCCTACAAACAACTGTTTCATATAAATTGTGGACAAGTAAAAGAAATTCCTATTAAATCAGACTTTTTCCCTTATTTGTAAAGAACACTATTTATTCTGATTCCTCGCTAACCCCCTATAATTTTGGCAGTGCATACGGTGACTAACCTATTGACAGGGACTCCTTCGTGGTTTCCAATAGCCCAATAGGTAGGTGTTGTAGGGAAGTACTGACGAATAAGAGAACTCAAATTTCTTAAAGCTGTAACGTGCTCATCCACGGTATATGACCAATCGAAGTGGTTGATAAAATCTCCAGACATCATTATGTAGTCAATCTACAATGGAAAAAAGCTAGACCTGGAAAAAAAACCTGTTAGAGCTTAAAGCTATG